AGAGAAAAAAAGAATAGTACAGCTTGGTAGAGAGGACAGGGAGTTGTATTTGGGGACTGTGATGACTCTGGTGGTACCTCCAAGGAGTGTGACCTCTTACATGGCCTCCAGGCTTTGTCTGTAACTATAGCCCTCCTGTTACCAGACAGCTACCTTGAGTTGAAATCCACAGTGTTAAACAGTTCCAAAGTTAAGCAGTCAGCTGTTTAAAGTTAAACAGCATAATAAAATGTTACACACTTTTCTTTTTCCTGCCTCTCCACCAAAGAAACACCAGAGTGTTCAAAAGCCCCTGTTTCCCCAGGAGGATATGGGGGGTAATTTTCAGCAGGGTGCTGGGGTTTTAGCTGTGGGACTCCCATTACCCATAATGGGAGTCACGCTGCTTCATTTCCCGCACACTGCATGGAAACACATACCCCTCCACGGTTACAAAAATTTTAGTTTTGAAGTTCAGGCCATTTTTCGCAGAACAAAGCAGATTTCCAGAAACACCCCAAACTATTGGGTATTGGCCTGGGGCCTATGTGTTTGTGCTTAGGCGTGTCTGTGTCTCTGAGAGGGAGAAAATTCCTTCTGGGAGAGCATTTGCCCCTTTCCAAGATGACAACATTAAACATTATGCCCAATAGCTGACAGCAACGGTTGCTATGCTTCACCCCAAAGCTCTGTTAGGAACCCCATAAAACCTGGCACATGGTTAGTGTCACCCAGTGAAACACTGTGCTTCTTCCATAATAACCTGAGCCCGGCTGCCTGTCATTAAGGGACCTCTCTTATTAAGCATCTCTTTTTTAAATGGCTGCCATCATCTGGTCCCAGTGTACATTAAATCCCATTATAATTATAAACACACTTCCCCCATAACATCCGTTGAGGAGCTCATCCACACTGCCTACCCCCTCAGGGCATCTTTGCGCTAATAACAACTCAGATTTGCTATCTGAGTTGACGACATTAGGTCTCAACACCATTTGCAATATGCTGGGGAGATAGAAAGAAAGAAGAAAAAGCTTTCTCTTCCTCAATCATGAAGATCTTGGGGTCACAGTGACCCAAGGCTTCAGGACTAAAGAAAAAAAATTCCCACTTCCTCTCCCTTTGAAAAGTCACTCTCTGCCCTACAGATGAGAGGAAGGGCATAGTTGGCACCTGCAAGAGAAACCCAAGTTTGTAAACACTACTAACTAGGTTTCCGCTGGGGAAAGAGGGACGATGGCAATCACTAATCAAAGAAGCCATCTTTTTCTTCTGTTTTCTGGGACTCAACTAACCAGAGCACACTCCTCATGGGATTATTTTCCACTGTGCATTTTTTTCTGCAGGGCGGAGGAGGCAGCCAAGAAGTGTTATGAAAGAATGAAACTTAAAAAAACAAAAACGAAGTCAACATACGCATAGTCCACTATACTCTCCGTGATTTTTGTTATTACCTGCATCTACATAGTAGATAACAGTAGATGTCTGCAATGAAGGATTGTAAAATTGTAAAATTCTGCGACGCCCGAAAAAAAAGACACACTAGCCATGCTGTGTCTTCTCCTGTGGGTAAAGATCTGATGCTCTGGTGCAGCCCCCAGTGGTAACCTGGAGTTCTCATCTGCACAGGAGATTCCTCTTTTCCACTCATAAGCATCACTGCCTGCATGCATCCCTCTCTCCACATGCCCCATTCTCTACTCCTCACGAGGTTTGGGGAAAATGCAACGTAGCTTCTTCTCCTGGAAAGGTAGGGCTCCTTGATTATCATGATAGGAAATTTGACTTTTATATTTTAGAATTTTTTTTTTTTTGAGACAGCGTCTCACTCTGTTGTCCTGGGTAGAGTGCCCTGGTGTCATAGCTCACGCAACCTCAAACTGTTGGGCTCAAGCGATCCTCCTGCCTCAGCCTCTAGAATAGCTGGGACTACAGACACCTACCACAATGGCTGGCTAGTTTTTCTATTTTCATTTTTTAATTTAAATTTAATTTAATTTAATTTTGAGACGGAGTCTCACTTTATCGCCCTCAACCTCCAGCTCTTGGGTTTAGGTGATTCTCTTGCCTCAGCCTCCTGAGTAACTGGGACTACAGGCGCCCACCACAATGCCCAATTATTTTTTGTTGCAGTTTGGTTGGGGCGGGGTTCGAGCCTGCCTGCCACTCTCAGTATATGGGGCCAGCGCCCTACCCAGTGAACTACAGGTGCCGCCCAGTTTTTCTATTTTCGGCAGAGATAGAGTCTCACTCTTGCTCCGGCTGGTCTTGAACTCCTGAGCTCAAGCGAACTACCCCTCGGCTTTCCAGAGTGCTGGGATTATAGGTGTGAGCCACCACGACTGGCCTAAATTTTAGGATTTTAAAAATATTTTCCAAATGAGGATTTGGAACAAAAAGAGTTGCAAATGCCATTCATAATCAATCAGAATACTTAAAATGCCACCATAGCCTTCTTTCTGAGTACCTGTTTGGTTGAAGTTTTTTTTTTTTTTTTTTTTTTTTTGAGTCAGAGTCTCAAGCTGTCCCCCTGGGTAGAGTGCCGTGGCATTACAGCTCACAGCAACCTCCAACTCCTGGGCTCAAGCGAGTCTCTTGCCTCCGCCTCCCAAGTAGCTGGGACCACAGGCACCCGCCACAACGCCTGGCTATTTTTTGGTTGCAGCCGTCATTGTTGTTTGGCGGGTCCGGGCTGGGGATTCGAACCCGCCACCTTAGGTGTACGTGGCTGACGCCTTAGCCAGTTGAGCTATAGGCGCCGAGCCTGAAGTTTTAATATAATTCAAAACTCCCAAACTTCTGCCTGAGATTCTAGGCGAGGGAAAGTGTAGAGATCCTGGGGTATCTAAGTCTGGTGGCCAACCTGAGAATTGGTTGGCTGCTTTTAGGTAGTGGCCTCAATGGAGTAAGAGGAGAAAGTCAAGAGGAGATAATCAGAAGTCCATGTTTCCTGGGTCTATGTCACTAGAGACTAAATAATCTAGAAGTTAACAACATAAGCTTTGCAGTTACAGGGTCTGACTCCAGGTCTCAGCTCTGATTTTAAACAGATCTACCATCTTGAATAAGGCACTTGATTTCTCTGAGCCTCAGTTCTCACGTCTGCAGAAATGGGGAAGCTAATAGTACCTGCATTAATAGTACTGTTATGAGGATTAAATAAGACGGTATAGATAACATGTTAAGATTCGTAGACTGGGGGTGGCAACTGTAGCTCAAAAGGGTAGGGTGCTGGCCCCATATGCTGGAGGTGGTAGGTTCAAACCCAGCCCCGGCCAAAAACTGCAAAAATAAATAAATAAAGTCTTTAAGAAAAAAAAAAAGATTCGTAGACTGTGCCCAGATTGAGTTGGTATTTGGGTGAAGCAGGAGACGAGGGACTAAGATTTAGCAGCAGAATTCCACCCCAACTCAACACACCTATTCCCTGTCTCTAGCACAAATTTCCCCTAAGACTGAGGTCTCTTGTATTTTTAGGAGCACTGATACTATGGATTTCCTTAGCAGACACTTCAAGAAAAAAAGTCAGAGAAAAATTACTATAAATACATAAATGAGAGAGAGAAATTTTCCAACCTGCTTGTTTTTAGGCACTGCCATATGAAATCTCTGAACTGGGGACTATCACCAGCTTTCCCAGGACCCAAGGACATAGCTCTGGCTATAAATGGTGCCAGTTTTTTTGGGGGGGGGGAGCTGCTGCCGCTTTATCTGGGCCCAATAAACCTTATCAAACTGCTGCGCAGCCAGCCTTCAGCACTAAGTGGAAATGCTTGGAGCCCAACGCTGGCACTCAGCCCACAGTCTCGCCTGCCTTCTTCCTTTTTGTTACCTTCTCCACCTCTTAAATTCAGGCATTAATCTCTCTTTAACACTTACTAACAAGGGCTGGGCTTTTTAATGGGCAGAGTTTATGAAGCAAGGGAGATTTTCACGTAGAGTGAATATGGAGTGGGGGTGGGGAGGCCAGGACCACAGAGGATTGTTCTTTCTCTCCCATTGTTGCCAGAGATTCTCTCTTTCTCTGATTTGAGGATTAATAGGAGATTAGGATCAGGGGTTAATTGTGGAGTGCTTCTGCTGCTGCACTGGAGAGAGGCTGCGAGGTGGACGTGGACAGCTAGGCAGAAGCCATCTAGGAAGAAGCTCACCAAGTTTAATGATTCTTTCTTCTCTTTCCCTGGTGAGGCGTTAGGAAGGTCTTTTTTTACATCCCTCCACTCTTACTATCCATAGGCCAGTTCTTTCATAATTTTCTTTAAATCCTTGTTTTCTTACAGGGTGTTTTTAGTTAGAAAAACAGTGTCTAAATAGGGACTGCTCATTATAGTTAATCAAATGAATTTTCCGGACTGGGGTTCCCTTCCTCCCTTCCCCTTGGTCTGATGTGGTTGTATCCACTGCCATCTGAGGATAACGATCCCCTCCTTCATTTCCAAGCGTGCTCCCCTGCCCGCCCTGCCCGTCTGTCTTCTCTCTGCAGACTCCGCTGATCTGAGCACGGTCCCTGCTCGTAGGAGACAGCAGTGACTCTTGTTGGGACGCATCTGTCCTTGGGATACCCCATTAGCAGATCCTGTGAACCGGCTGAGTTCCCCTGTGTGAACTTCTGCCTCCTGGCCTTCAGCAACCAGATCCAGAGTCCTGCCACCTTCCATGACCCTACAGTTCTCAGGGCCTGACTCTCAGTCTGGGGAAGTGCCAGAGGCACGCACGGAGATGTGACTCTATGTGGGTCCTGTGGAAAACCTCTGGCCCACCAGCGAGTCACGGAGAGAACATGCAGACTTAGTGACTGAAGGCCGGAGTTGCTACAATCGCAAGACCTCCTGGCAGAACTCGGATGGGGCTCACCCACCACCCACCTCCCACCTCAGCGCTCTTGGACTGAAGTCAAGAGACTGGTCTCCTAAAGAGCGCCTCCCATCTCTTGCCCCTTATCTTTGCCTGGCTCCAGGGAAAAGGGGTGAGGGGAACTTTCCAAAGCCAGATGAACGGCAAATTTTATTTAGTTGCTTTACCTTCGGGGTTATGGCTCTCCTACCCTCTAAAGTGGGGCCACCAGGTCCAAGGAGGTCGTACTTTTGAGGGCTCCACAAGTTTCCCAAGCTTCTCCTCATTCTCTGAAGGCGGTGCACTGAGGTGGGTGCAGTTCTGGGGAGCTCCTTACACCCAGGCCGCTGCTGGAGGACAAGACTGGGAAGGATGAAAGTTTATTTCAGTACTCGATCTTGGCCTCCAGCAATTGCCAACAGCTGAAACGGCGCGTCTGCCCTCGACAATAGATCCCCGAGAACCCTCTGGCACCTGGCTCACTAAGGCCTTCCTACACCGCACCCCGGGACTTCTCGAAATGTGGGTGCTCAAGGTGGGAGGCACACAGCAGACAGCAGGACGAGAGGCCTGGGCTTGGGCTGGGAAAGCGAAAACCTGCGTCGAGGGCTAATGGCGATGCAACCCTGAGCCCGGAGAAAAAGTGGTGAAGGCGAGATGACGTGCACTGAATTGGGGGCAAACACTGAAACTGGGGACAAAACTGCGTTTGGAACACGGGAACGGGGGACAAAACCCGTGCCCAGTGGAAATTAAAAACCTGGGGGTGAGGTGGGGGCTGCACCTTGCTCCTCGTCCGTCACCCTCAGCGCTCCCATTAAGGGTTCGGAGTCCCTTGTACTCCGCTCCGCCAGCTCTGTCCTTTCTCTCCTCTCGGCTGGTGAGCAGCGGCGGCCGGCGCCCCAGCAGCAGCTAGATGTCAGGCGAAGCCCGGAGCGCGGAGCGCGGGGACTGGAGGGTAGGAGAGCGGCAGGGAGGGGTGGGGCGGGGAGCGCGCGCCGGCTCGGCCAGTGCCGGGTGGTGGGCGGGCTGAGCCCCGGGACCGCGCGGGAGGGGGGAGGGAAGGGGGGCAGCTGTGGGCAGGGAGCCGGGCTCGGCCGCCAGCACTAAAGATGGAGAGGCGCCGGGGCCTCGCAGGGGAGGGGGCTCGGCGTTGACGTGGGACGCGGCGGAGGCGCAGCAGCGGGTGGTGATTTGCTAACCTCGCAGCAGAGAGGAGTTGAGGGCGAAGAGAGCGGGTACTGCGAACTGCCCGGGGATGCCGCCGCTGCCGCCGTGAAACGGAGAGCAACAGTTCCTCAGCAACACCCCTTCCCGACACAGGCACACACCCCTCAACAGGCACGCACACCCACCCCACAGTGCCCGGCTCTGCAGCGGTGAGTGGGGGGCCGGGGAGAGGCGCACCGCCCAGCGACCGCCGCGCGCCGGGGCGCCCCGGGGCTGGAAAGGTCTGCGGGGCGCGCGCTCGCTTCGGCCACTCGGCCACTGGGCTTGTGCCTTATTTTATCTGGCGTGCTCCCTTCCTGCTGCTGCAACCTCGCCGCCGCCACTTGCGGGGTCGGCTAGAAGGGGGAGACTCGGCTGTCAGCTTGGGCGCAGCTGCCTTCCCAGCCCTTCCTCTCCAAGGCACGGTCAGGGTGAGAGGTGGGGGGCAGAGCGGTCTGCTTGGCTGAGGGCGCCGGCGGAGGGTCGGGGATCGGGAGGCTTTGTACCGCCAGAGCTAGTGGAAAAGCCGAGAACCGGTGGGTGCTCATATGTATGCGGACCGGTGCGCGGGCGCGAGATAGGATGTTGGTTTATTTATTTGTGTGTTTATTCCCCGACCGGCTGGGAAGCTAGAATCGGAGGAGCTGACGAGTGAGTGGATCTGGGGGCGGAGGGGCGCAGGACTCGGACTCGCTTGGGTTTTGTTTCTCTCTGAGGAAACGTGGTAGGCTTCTTTTTCTCGGTTAGACTTGATCCCCCTTTTCGGCGAGAGGGAGCGAAGCTCCGCAGGATCTTCAGCGCTCCGGGCCCTCCTTTGCTTTCGGCGGGACCGCTGTGGCGCCAGAGCTCGCGGTGCGCGCTCGGCCACGCTCGGTGGGTGCCCGGCTTTGCACCTGATGCTTTCAGGATGCCTTTCCCACCCTGGCGCGCCCGCGTCTGGCTCGCGTAGCCCCTCGCACACTACCGCATGCGCTCGACATGCGCACGATCCCGCCAGCCCGCGGACCTACTGGACGCACAGATGCGCTCGGCACCTCTGCTCGCTGCCTCCCCGGGACGCTCGCAACGTGCCTGGGCCGGGCAAGCCAGCAGCCGGCGCCGCTGGCCAGAGGCCCGGGACGCTGCCGGTCGTTCCCCGGGGGTCACAGCCCTAGGTCGAAGATGGGGGCCGTCCCCTTCTCGCCTTTCCTCCCATAACGCGCTCCGGGGCTTTTGTGCTTCCTTTTCGCCCCGGGTCGGGTCCGACTCCTCTCCGCGCTGCGTGCGGAGCCCTGTATGCCCGACTCTCGCCTTTGGTCCCCGTCTCTTCGCTTTCCCTTTCTCTAGCTCGGATCCCTTTCTTTCAGGAGTCTGGCTTCCCGGGAAAAGTTGCTTCCCCAAGTTTGCTGAAGTCGTCTCCGAGTCTCAGTGGGGGTCGCTGGGAAGTAGGGGCGTGTGAGAGTGCGATCGATACCCGGAGCTCGGGCGGGCTAGCGCCGGCTTCTCCCCGCGCCGCCTGGCTGGCCGCTGCAGCCAGCGCCGGCCGGATCGCGGGCGCCGAGCGGCGGGTGGGGAGACGGCTGACCCAGGGAGTCCTAATTTCTCTCAGGACTCGGAGAGCTTGTTTGGGGTAAGGAATTCAGGTAGTCGCACTTCCATTCTCTCCGCTGCTCCCTCTCAGTTCTCCTAAACCCTGGCGTCTGCCGGAAAACACACGGTGGCGAGGCGTGGCTGAACGGTCGTCCCACCTTTGACGGCCTCGGTCCCCATCCCGGGGTGGGCAGCAGAGTGTCTGGATCAGCCGTCCTGTTAACCTTTTCTGCGCGAGCTTTGAGCCCTTTGGAGGGCTCTTTTTTCGGGTGGAGGCAAGCAGTGTTTGAAGAGTGAGGGACAGACCTTCCTCTTCGCTCCCAGCTAATTCACTGCAATATTGGCCGCAGCAAGGTAGACGCTGGGAGGGTCCTGCGCCTGTGAGGTCTTTCAGACTCTCCTTAAACAGGGTTCGGGGCCAGGCGCCCCGTTGTTGATCCAGAATAGGCTCTGGGAGAGGCCTTTGTCTCCCAGCCCCGGTTTCCCTTAGTCTGGGTTGTAACTCAACACCATAGATGCTGGTGCCAGTATCGCCTTTAGCACCTCTGAACCATGTCCAGCAGCGCTTGCTGCTCCTGGTCATAGGACTTGCCGCTCCTTGGAGCCTGTGGGACACACTTAAGAGTTCATGTACCCAGCCCTGTGGGGGAACGTATTTCCCATGGTATCGTTTCATACCTTGGTGACCCATTCTCCTTTATTTTTTAAGATCCTCCTGTCCACTGGGCACTGTGGGCAGAAGGGTAAGTGTAGCAGCTTATGTAAGAGAGTGTGTGTGTGTGTGTGTGTGTGTGGACATGCACTGTTTGGCCATTACACAAACACAGGTTTAGCTCTTGGGTTATGAGCGTCATACAACTTTGAGGCATGTGTGGTGGAGCTGACCCAAGTTCCTTTTCATGCCCGAGGAGGGGACAGGGTGTGGGTCTGTCTGTGCTGTGCAGCCCTGAGAGGAGTGGAGGAAGGCCCAGGCTGATGGTGAGAGGGTGGGCCTGGGGGACAAATAGATCTCTGTCGGCTGTGCATCCTGGTTGCCAGCCCCAAGTGGGTTTGACTCTGTTCCTGGGGCTACCACAGTGAGGCAGAATTTGGGAAAACTTCACAGATGACGTTTGCTGTACAGGGAGTTGACAGTAAAATTGACTAAAGGAAAAAGGTTGAAGTCTTATTTCAAATAAGGGCTGACACCTTCCTATAATGAGTTGGCCTAGCAAGGGAGGCCTCTGCTCTCAGACTTGGCTCCCAACTCACAAGACTTCACTGTAATTTTCATTTGACTTTGTCTAACGGAAGTTATAGGATAGATCTGAATTAGGCAGATGTGAAGGCAGGACCTTCTCTTTACACTCACTATCCCTGGGCTTGGTAGGGGTTTTTGTAGATTTCTAGAAAGTGCCTTCCATTAAAATTTCTGTGCACCTCTTATGGGGTCTTGGCAGTGGGGACAAGAGGGGCATGTTGTAGTGTTTGAATTTTCACTTCTAGGGACACTAATGAATCTGTCTTTTGTTCTTTTGTCTTTTTGTTTGCCTCTTCCTTTCTTTTCTCTGCTAGATAGACCCTCCATTGGCCCAGAAAGCCCACCCTGCCCTGTCACGCAGAGCCCAGAAGGAAGCAGAGCCTCATGCCTGAGCCGAGGGCAGCACCATGGATCTGACAAAGATGGGCATGATCCAGCTGCAGAACCCCAGCCACCCCACGGGGCTGCTGTGCAAGGCCAACCAGATGCGGCTGGCCGGGACTCTGTGCGATGTGGTCATCATGGTGGACAGCCAGGAGTTTCACGCCCACCGGACGGTGCTGGCCTGCACCAGCAAGATGTTTGAGATCCTCTTCCACCGCAACAGTCAGCACTATACCCTGGACTTCCTCTCGCCAAAGACCTTCCAGCAGATTCTGGAATATGCGTACACGGCCACGCTGCAGGCCAAGGCAGAGGACCTGGACGACCTACTGTATGCAGCCGAGATCCTGGAGATTGAATACTTGGAGGAGCAGTGCCTGAAGATCCTGGAGACCATCCAGGCCTCCGACGACAATGACACAGAGGCCACGATGGCTGACGGCGGGGCCGAGGAGGAAGAGGACCGCAAGTCTCGGTACCTCAAGAACATCTTCATCTCGAAGCATTCCAGCGAGGAGAGTGGGTATGCCAGTGTGGCTGGACAGAGCCTCCCTGGGCCCATGGTGGACCAGAGCCCTTCAGTCTCCACCTCATTTGGTCTTTCAGCCATGAGTCCCACCAAGGCTGCAGTGGACAGTTTGATGACCATAGGACAGTCTCTCCTGCAGGGAACAGTTCAGCCACCTGCAGGGCCTGAGGAGCCAACTCTTGCTGGGGGTGGGCGGCACCCTGGGGTGGCTGAAGTGAAGACAGAGATGATGCAGGTGGATGAGGTGCCCTGCCAGGACAGCCCTGGGGCAGCCGAGTCTAGCATCTCAGGAGGGATGGGGGACAAAGTTGAGGAAAGGGGCAAAGAGGGGCCTGGGACCCCTACTCGAAGCAGCGTCATCACCAGTGCTAGGGAGCTGCACTATGGGCGAGAGGAGAGTGCCGAGCAGCTGCCACCCCCAGCAGAGGCTGGCCAGGGCCCCCCCGGCCGACCTGAGCACCCCGCGCCCCCAGCTGAGAAACACCTGGGCATCTACTCTGTGTTGCCCAACCACAAGGCTGATGCTGTGTTGAGCATGCCGTCCTCAGTGACCTCGGGCCTCCACGTGCAGCCTGCCCTGGCCGTCTCCATGGACTTCAGCACCTATGGGGGGCTGCTGCCCCAGGGCTTCATCCAGAGGGAGCTGTTCAGCAAGCTGGGTGAGCTGGCTGTGGGCATGAAGTCGGAGAGCCGGACCCTCGGGGAACAGTGCAGCGTGTGTGGGGTCGAGCTCCCCGATAACGAGGCCGTGGAGCAGCACAGGTAGGCCCTGCCCAGCTCTGCACCTGTCCGCACTCCTTCATACCTAGAGCCGGGGTCCCCTGTCCCCTGTCTTCCTTGTTACTAGTGAAAAAACAAAACAAACCAAAACAACCCACTTCTTCTGAAGTCCTGGGGGTGGGCACATTTTTTAGAGGTTAAGGGGGCCTAAGGTCTTCTCAGAATGCACTGGGGAACTCATGGGCCCAGCTTCTTAATAAACTCCTCCCTCTCCTTTCGCTCTTCAGCTCCTGGGTATGTTTTTGCTATTCAGTCTGTTCTTTGCCTAGATGGGCTGATAATATGTAGGGGAAGAGGTGGGATTCAAAATGAGGGTCTCCTGTGGCCTGGATCTGGCCACGTTACCAAGTTTCTGGGCCCGAGGGCCCCACGCAGGGGCTCCTGCAAAGGCTGGCTGTCCCTGTCTGCAGTCCAGGAGGATGAGAGGGGCTAGAGGCTGCTTAGGCCAGGAGAGCAGCTGCAGGTTCTAAACATCATTCCTGGTAAATGTTCATTTTGTTGCTCCCTCTCCCTTCTCATCCTCTGATCCTGCAAATACACTTACAGTATTTTCTTTTAAATTCAAGGGGAAGGATGGGTCTAGGAGTCTTGGGTCTTGCAGGCTGTAAAGTCTCATTCTTATCCCATCTCTGCTCGAATTGAATTCAGTGCTTCTCCGGGCTAGCATTGACTGCCTCTGGCTTCCGTTTCCTTCTCTGTGAAATAACCATTCATTCAGCTCTTATGACGTGCTTGGTTTAGTGCGGAGCGCTTTACGCGGAGTTGCATTTTCATTACAGCAGCCCTGTGAGGTAGGGAGTATCCTTCTTTTAACATAGGATGACCCTACAACCCAGATATAAAGTCTCTTTTCTAGGGTCACATAGGCTGGATTCAAATTCAGGTCTTAACCCTCTTGTACTTTGCTGTCTCTTGGAGTCATTTAGTCTTAAAGAGGATCACGTCTACAATACAGAGGGTTTTGAAGATTACTTATCAGAAGCAGAGTAAATAACAGAAGGATTTACTGGTGGGTTTGTTTTTTTTCCTTGACTTCTGTCATAAACCATATGCAGGTCATCTTACCCTCTAGTCTGACCTGGGTCAGATGAATAATGTCAAGAAATCTAGTTTTCTCTTGTCATCAATGATAATATTTCCCCGCACACCCTCTGGCTTGCTGTTTTGCCGATCTCGGGTAGACTCTGTCCTTTGGCACCTGCTCCCCCCCCTCCTCTGTTGCTCATTCAGGTTTGGGGGTGTGCGTGAGAGGAGTTGGGGTGGAATGGAGGTATCTGGAAGTTGGTCTCGTCACCCCTGGCTGGAACCAGCTCTGAAACCCCCTGATCAATAGTTCTGAGACTTACCTTCTGGAAAGTGCCACAGAGCTAAACGTAGCCGATTGTTTTTCTGGTGGGTGCGATAAATAACCACACTAAGATGTGTCTTCCTGATGTTTGTACCACTCAGAAATAGGGGGTAGTTGTGCTTGTGTTTGCTCAGACTTTCCTAAAGAGGAAACCCCTTCCCCAAACTCGACCAGATAGATTTATCATCTCTTACGACATGAATTATTTTAGCTATGTGCCATGAGAAATGAGGTATGGTGGTAAGTAATTTTTCCTCCTGGCCCTCATCAGGTCCCAGTTGCTTTTACTTGACCCAACAGGACCACAACAGATAACCACGTTTCTTGGGAGTTCCAAGTTCCCATTCATTCCTATGGGGAAAGATGGAGCATTGGGTATGTTATGTTCTAAAGAGCCTGTGACAGTTATTTAGCCTTTCTGAGCTTGTTTTACTCACTTGTTAAAATGAAGATAGCCAACAGGGTTGGTGCTGAATTAAAGAAGTAAAATCCAGAAATCATTGGCACTGGACACGGAGTCCCCGCAGAGGTGAAGAGCTGACCCTCTGTTCCCCATCTTAGTCAGGTCCCCTTGCTGCATGATCCCCATTAGCTCTGAGTTTTAGTGTGTAGTGTCCACCAGGGTTGTGTTAGCTCTAAGGTGGGACTGAGAATGTCCCTGTCCTCAAGAGCGTGAGATGGTAAGATGTTGGTCCTGGAATCTTCAGTGTCATGCTGTGGGCTCCCACCGTGAGAAGGACTCGAGAGTGGACAGTCAGCTGCTGCAGCCCCATAAGCTAGAGCAAGGTGGCACCTACTCTGGGGAGCCATAGGGAGATCGAAGAAAATCAGGAAGGGGAGAGCTCAGTGTGCTGGCTCAAGCCTGTAATCCCAGGGTTTTGGGAGGCCGAGGCAGGAAGACTGCTTGAGCCTAGGAGTTCAAGACCTCATTGCTACAAAATTTTTTTTTAAAAAATCAGCCAGGTGTAGTGACTCAATGCCTGTAGTCCCAGCTACTCAGGGGGCTGAAATAGGAGGATCACTTGATTGCAAGAGTTTGAGGCTGCAGAGAGCTGTGATCTTATCGCTGTGCTCCAACCCAGGTAACAGACTGAGACCCTGTCTCTTAAAAAAAAAAAAGTAGTAGTAGGGAGAAAAGAGCCCACTGTATGTTTGGCCCTTACTCTGAATGGCAGCTTCTCAGCTCCTGGCTAGATATACTTTGTGGGAGGCTTTTTCGTCGCGCTCACCCTCAAAGCTCTGGGATTAATGTGCTACTTCTCTATCTCCTACTGTTCTCTGTCTCTCCCGCCCCCACCCGCCTGACCCATCAGCAGTCTGAGAAACGCTCTGAGAGAAGAAGAAACATCATTACTAGCAGAAACAAAAAGGCAAGAAAAAAATCAGAGGGAAAGATTTTGATGCCAGGAAGCCATAGAATTGGCTAGAAACAGAGCATTGATGACCATGATGAAATGACAGGCTGTAGGGTTTAGTTTTCTTTTCTTTTATTTATTTTTAAGCCAATAATCCAGAGTGTTGAAGGTTAAGTCGCCAGTAGTTATTCTTGCTTTTCTTTCTTCTTTTTTTTTTTTTATTTTATCTTATTTCTATTCTTGCTTTTCTTATGGGGGGCAGAAGGGAATTTGAGGACCTTAGGGCAAAGCGCTGGGAGAGGAGGTAAGTAGGGGAGTTTGTTATGGAATCCCATCAGCAGGGTTTCCCATGCCTCGATCCCAAGCTGGTGTGGAGAACTTGTTGGCTAACAGATAGTGAGAATGAAACAATGAATTACGGATCCTGGTCCCTGAGTGCCCGGCAAGATGTAAAAGGAATGTCAGATGCAGTCATGGAGCCGTGGGGAGAGCAAAGACACCAATGCAGTAAATTGGACGGGATTTACTTACCCAGAGGAACCAGAAGGAAGTCAGAACAGTGAGAAGAGCTGATGGATCAGCAGATGAAGAGACGGTCTGGACCCTAAAATATTCCCTATGGCCCCCTAGTACGGAGGGTCATGTCTGAGGGAGGCTTATCTGCAGCTTCTGGAAGACTGGGCTCCCTTCTTTCTGTTTTCCTTCCTGAAAGGCTGGAGCAGGTCTGCATGTAGGCTGGTCTGAACGTGGTCTGGGACCCAGCTCGGCCAGGTCAGGTACACTTTGCTCAGAGTTCCATACATGTGTGATAAGATTGCAGGGAGCAGCATGGTTGACTTGAGTGTGCACATGGTCTTCGTTTATAGACCTCTGCCTCCCTAGGCTCACATAGACAGGTCTGAATACGTCCTGAATTTAGTGCTTAGAAGCGCAGTGGAGTCTGTTTCCCCAGGAGCCCTTAGCTGGGCTGTGGTGAAAAGTCTTTGCAGACATGGTGGCTATGCTTGCCTGCCTGTCTGTCTGTCTTTCTGTCTGTCTTCCTTCCTTTCTTCTCTCTCTCTCTCTCCTCGCTTTCTTTCTCTCTCTCTCTCTCCCCACCCCCTCCTTTTTTTTGAGGCAGAGTCTTACTCTGCCACCCTGAGTAGAGTGCCATGGTGTCACAGCTCACAGCAACCTCAAACTCTTGGGCTTGAGCAATCCTCTTGCCTCAGCCTCCCAAGTAGCTGAGACTACAGGCATGCACCACTAGTATCCAGCTGGTATTTCTATTTTTAGTAGAGATGGGGTCTTGCTCTTGCTCAGGCTGGTCTCTAACCCCTGAGCTCAAGCAATCCACCTGTCTCGGCTTCCCAGAGTGCTAGGATCACAGGCATGAGCTATCATACCCAGCCTGCTGCCTGCTTCTTGAAGGGATGCTCGGGAACCACGGGCATGGTCTCAGCCAGCGCCTTGGACCCGCACATGCAGCCTGCCCAGAGGTTCCTCGGGGCCAGCTCTAGGCTGCAGAGCCATGTGGCTGAGAGGTCAAAGGTCTGCCTGGCATTTCGCCTGATCTCTCTCAGATGGCCAGCTGTTCTGTTTTCAGTGGTTGATGGTGTAGAAAGCCAACAGGTGTTGACCTTGGTTTAAGTCCCTTTTAGGAGGTTAGAGGTTGCCTGGAACTCTTGGTTCCCTTTCATCATTCTTCCAGGCACCTCTGCTGTCAAACTAAATTCATTTCAGAAAAGTGTGTTCTATGGTATAATGATAGCCACAGCAATAATATTAATAATGCCTTTTATCAGTTGCAGCACTTTCTTCTTGGCAAAGCACCTTGAATGACTTTGTCTCTCTTCCCCTCACAGCCAGTCCCTAAGGGGTGCAGGGCTATAATCCCCTCTCTGTGATAATGAAGTCTGAAAAACTCTGGAAACTAAAAGGCTTTTTTGTAGGGTTGCTGCAAACCCATTTAGTGGCAAAACCTGAATTGAACTGACGTGAGGCTATATTTAGCCTGCTTATTTTGAATATTCATATGTTTTGCTGCAAAAACATTAATGTGTTTGATTATAGAGTGCTGCCCTAGACTCTGCCGGGGCTATTTAATACTATAGGCCCTACCAGGGTACCTTTATAAAATCGGGACCATTCTGATTTCTGAAGCCCCCAAGAGTATGGGCTATGATTGGCCCTGATTGACACATGAGGAAGATGAGATTTGGAGCAAGTAAGTGACTTGCCTGTGGTCACACAGCTATAAATGGGTAGAGCTAGGCCCTCGGCTTGCCTTCTAATTCACA